ATGCCATAATTTGTATTTGGATTACAGTTTATGTTGACTTAACTACCTTTTAGGCTAATTTCTTATGGCATAATTTTTATTCACATAATGTTATGCGACTATTAGCCGAATAATGGAATATGTACCCAATAGGTTAAGGTGCGGCGGATAAGCGGCCGTTATGTTTTACGTACATTTAACAAATTTACACTTAAAAATGTGTACTTGTGTCAGACATTCTAGGATGTATAAATAAATTGATGCTCATCATTAAAATTATGAATAAATAAATTTATGATTAAGCATGTTATGCTTAAACATTATTATGGTTAGAGTTATGCTAAGTAAATTATAAGCTGCTTGCTGCTTATAAGCTTATTGCTGTTATGCGTAAATATAATAAGAATGAACTAAATTATGCCATTATGCTTTTACCGACATTATAATTTTTCACCGACTTCATAAAAAGTAGGAAATTCTCAATCGTGTTGCATTGTTTAACATTGATCAGCTCAGAACTTCTTCATTTATGATTATGAGTTTATGAACCAATTATGAAAATATTTTTTTATTGGGTGGGTATAATTTCCATTTCATCTTCTTTAATTTGAGGTAAAATACCTCATCTAACGATGGAACTTCATTGAAGTTAGTAATACTTTTTAAAACAATGTATCAAAAGTTCTCATTAAAGTAGTTTTATTAACGAATTTATTGTTATCACATGATTGTACATTAGATGACCACATACATACACGGTACATATACAAAGTCTTGCACAAAGGTGATTTATAGTTAACCATAGTATAGAAGGCCCCGTGAATGCCCTAGTGAAAGCGCCTACAATTTTTACACTTAAGTATTATATTTACACAGTTCGTAAGAGAGAAGGCAGATTATGATAAAACTTATTTATTAAACATTTATGAAATCAACATCAAGGAGAAAAACTTAATGTTAGGATTTGTCGACAAATCCTAACATTAATCATGTGATAACAATAAATTCGTTAATAAAACTACTTTAATGAGAACTTTTGATACATTGTTTTAAAAAGTATTAAATTAAAAAAAAACTAATCGTTGTGAAAATTAATACTTCGTTTTGAAATGTACACATACGAGTACACAAAAAAGTTAAATCGTTCGTTTTAGGCTGAATCAAGTAAAACTTTTCTTAAAATTAACCAACGACGGCATTTTGCATTTTTGTTTGTGTTAATTAGATTTAATTTAGGCTCAGTATATTATGATATTGTAACTCCGTTTTAAATTATCTGAAAAACGATAGATAAAAGAAAAATATTTCTGGAATTTTGGAGCATCATTTAATAAAATTTAAAATAAGTCTGCTATAATTAAATTTAGTAATTCATTTTAGAAAATATTTTTAGTCTAAGAACAACAGTCTAATAAAAACTTTTCCGTTAAACGTTTAAAAGTAAGTAATGATCCTACAAATGATTTAATTAATTAATTGTCTATTTTTCGTTTTTATCTGATTACATTTGTAAACTAATATTAAAGTATTGTTTTCTTACCCACAACACCCGATGTATTAGACGACGTGTGTATTCGTCAAGCTACCGAAATTGTACTATTAGATAAGGATATATTTTTATAAACTCGGGTATATTATCATTTCGGGTATATTATCAAAATCAAAAGTTTCCACGAGGATAAATGTTTTGCTTCTAATTTGTTTTTATGTAGGGTACTTACACCGGTTGGCTGTCAACTTCCTACTTTTAACAAAGCTAAATGCTGATACATTAAGAAAGGAAAAATAGGAAATTACGAATCGCTTGGCAAGAAAATATCCTTGCTGGGCGCTGTTTAATTGAAACAGCAACACACCTGTTTGACTCTTTAATACACACTTTTTTTCAGGAGAGACAATATCAGACATGGTTATCAGAATTTGGGCAAACTGGTTCCTATGGTTCTTAATTTTTTCCATTCGGCCCAAACTTTATGTCTTATTTATGAAACGAGAAAACCTCGTAATTTATTGAAACGACTAATAATTTAGTGATACACTAAATAAGATTAATTAATTTATGATTTGCAAAGTATTATTTGGTTCGTCCGAAATATTACTTTACAAATCATAAATTAATTTACTAAAATTAAAAGTAGTCTGTGTAGTGTTCGCACCCTATTACGAGTAGGAAAAATAACGTTGTACATCTGCATGTATTTTGTGTAATAACATGTGACGTGTACCACGCTGAATCATTTTTGTCAAAATGGAGATGGTAAGCGGGGCATTATAAGAAGCAGAAATATTTATTCAGCAACAGATCAACACTTGTAGCCTAAAGATATTGTACTCAATTCCACCTAAAATCATTCAACAATAATAATGGCTGTCGCTAACAAAATCGCCATCGTACTGCTGATCGCTGCGTGTATCATGGTTATTGCCGTGGACATTGCAAACGCAGTCCACGTTGGTCCCTGCGACCAGGTCTGCAATCGTATTATTCCCGAGAGGCACGAATGTTGCAGAGCTCACGGCTACAGAGGTTACTCAAATTGCAGGGGTGGACGGATGAATTGTTACTAATTTGATTAAAAGGTAAAAAAACATTTTATTTGTCACTAACTTTTGCTTGTGTCAGTGCTCGAGTTAAAGTATTTCTTAATTTAGCCTTTTGTTGTCTTCCTGGCAAGTCTGGCACATATGTCGACATGTTGGTCTAGCTTATATTCGTCACGAAGCATGTAGTATACAATCAAAAACACAAGTTCGTTTGGTGAATAAAGAAACGTATATCTTTGATTAATTTGTTGTCTTTTTTTTCAGGAAAATCAAGTTATTATAATGAAAATAAGTTTAAGCACATCCTAAGGAGATTCGTTTTAATATGGGAACCACCTTTTGATATAGTAAGATAATGTCAGATATTATGTATTACGATTACTGATTACGATTTATAAACACCTGTATTGTTTTAATGAATATCAAATATATAAACATGTCTCTAATATAGTTTGTTTTCTTTATTCAACTATGGTGGCAAATAAGTTCATGATCCGTCCTATCCAGCTATGAGAGGGTATCGCCGCCTATAAACTGTTCTGGACCAATAAAATTACAGCTAAGCATTTTCTATTACGTGGGAAATGCAGTGGGGCAATTTGTATTTACTGTACAAAGTATGCATTGCTCGCTTCATTTAAAAACTAAACGCATAACAAGGTAGTCTACCCTACCAGACACAGGCCTGTGAAAAAGGGACTCTAGCATTTAACAATGAGGTTTTCTGATAATCAATATACACTAAGCTCTGCTGTTGGTACCCAGATAACTAGATACCCTTTTGTAAAACTAGACTTAAAAGTCATAGCTTAACATAAATATTACCTACAAATCACTTCACGAGAACTATATCTCTAAAATATTATGACGTGTCTAAGGGACATCGCGTATGTTGTATAATGAAATATGAGTTTTCTAAACTTTACTAAATAACATGTCTACGGAAGATGTAATTCATAGAATAATAATACTATCCTGGAACATATTATACCTCGCTATCTAGATCTATGTTTACCTAAACAAAATTTCGAAAAATAAACAATCAATAAACTCGAATCATTTGTTCTAGAACACGAAACACGAAAAGTAAACATACTTACGGACATAAAAACAGCCAAGGCGCGACTTTTATGTAATAATATTATCCACTAGCTGGTGCACTTCTCGTGGAATTTGAAAAGCGCTGCCTTAGTGAGTCAGATTCCCGGAAAGAGCAAAAACTTAAATGGTATTTCTGGGAGGAAACATAGCCTAAGTCACTCCTTTTATAGACAGCTACTTGGTAGTAAAATATTATCAATATCGGTCCAGCCGTCTTAAAGATTGGAAAAACAGACAGACAGACAAAACAAAATTAAATTCGTTTTAGGCATAGGTATCCTGCAAATAACCGGGTGAGCATGAAAAAAAACTATTATTTTGACATTGCCAACAGACACTTCAATTTTATTTATTTGTATAGATAAGTTTGCGACTTAGATCGCAAAGATGTTAACGTATGGTAGTCGTGATTGTGAATGGTGTTTCTTGAACAATCGTATTTGTACTCGGAGCAAAATAATCAAAGAAATACTAACATTGCTACCTTTAGAAGAAGATGCGGCAGATGAACTTCTGAATGTCATCAAAAAAATAATAGAAATAAAAGTGGTGCAATATTCATAAATCAATAAAGTGAAGGAGCATGTTTTTTCTTGTGTATTATTTGTTTACCAAAACTTTAAAAACTCACTTGACAAAGTTACAAATACCTACTGTAACATTGTATACACAAAAAAAAACAACAAATTCTGTGCCAATAATTATAATGTATGCTACTTATGTATCGAAATAAATAATTTATATTATTCTTATTAAAATTGTTAAAATAAACACCTGCAATTTTCATTATTTCACTGATATTCTGCAATAATTTGTGCTTGAAGGCATAGTTTTTATAATTGTTATCTGATATATCGCACAATATAGTTTTTTTTTTATGTTTATGCTTAAAAAAGACAACTCCTGCATTAGCAAAATATCCTGTGTCGCGGGGGACTTTACAAACATACATGAAACGGACACAAAGAACACCCAGACTCGGAACAACACGAGAATTGGCCTTCTGTTCTTTACACAAAGACAACAATGTTTTAAAAACTATGTATAGTCTTTAGTATCAGAATGTTCTAAAATCTTGCTTGTCACGTGAGATTCCGGTTATAACACTATAAAAAGAAACATATTACAGGAATTCATATAATATAACATAACTAGCAAACCCGGCGAACTCCGTTTCGCCACCAGATGGCTTCGTTTTATGTAACATTTCGTTTGGTGATTAAAAATTTTTTTTTTGTTTTATATTTGAAAAGGAAAACTTTTATTTCATTTCACAACAGTAATGAATTCATTTCGATTACAAAAATGAAGTGTTATTTAGTTGAACTTCTCTAAGTAAATGAAAGTGAATCCAAAGTAAATACTGAATCGAAGCGTTATACGTCATTATTCTTTGCGGCAAGAATTGCTCGTTGACTTAACCAAGCATAATTCTGATAATTCTCACTAATGTTTTTGAAAACATTTTCAATAAGAGCTAATTGAGAGTCTACAAATCGGCAAAAGTCGTTGGTAAGAGTAATTAATCCAGATGTCGCATCAACTGGGACTTTTCCATTTCCAACAGCTAACAATTGTTTGGAAAATTGTGCAGCACTTTGATCATTTTGAAGTTGAACTCTCATATTAGTGGTTAGCGATAATGTTTTTACGTTATTCCATAAAGGTGATGCCTTCAGGCAAGCATTCAATTCATCTGCAGGCGTTCCACGGGGAATTACTGGCAACGTCTGCCTGAAATCGCCTGCCAACAATATCATCAAGCCGCCAAAGATGTTGTTATTTCGCCGAAGATCCTTCAGTGTGAAGTTAAGTGCTTCAAGTGATTTCTTATGTGCCATTGTGCACTCATCCCAAACAATGAGCTTGCATTGCATCAACAATTTTCCCATTGCACTGGATCGGGAAATATTGCATGTTGGAGTATCAATTGTGTTTAAATTGAGTGGCAACTTAAGAGCAGAATGTGCAGTACGACCGCCATCTAGAAGAGTCGCCGCAATTCCAGATGATGCTAACGCCAAAGCTATGTCACATCTTGATCGAATAGTGGCCAAAATCAATGAAATGACAAATGTTTTCCCTGTTCCTCCAGGTGCGTCCAGGAAAAATAGACCACCAGTATTATTGTCCACCGCTTGCATTAATGTTTCGTATACTTGTTTTTGCTGTTCATTCAGCAACGGCACATTATTTCGAACGAATTCCTGCAATGTATCAACATTGTATTGCAGCTCTCGATTTAATTCTTGGTTGAATGCATCGTGCATCGATCGATTTGGCGCAATCATTCCATACTTCAATCAGTAGCTTGTTTGCAATAGTCAAGCATTGATCCTCAATCAGAATCAATCCTTCATTGTAGATTTCATCGGTTATTTGGATGTCAGGATTATTCGTTTGAATGCGCAAGCGATGCAAGATATCTTCACATATGTCGTCTTTGTATTTGTTCCATAACTGAATTGGTTGTGAAGGAAAACATGTGGTGATGATAATTGCGAACAACGTTCGTATTTGGTACGCATTTGATGAAACAACTGAATCCGCAAGTGTTAAATCCCAATGAGAATCGTTCTCCAGCAAACCCAATAGTTGACATGCTTCTCGATATGTTTGGCATTGGTAGCCATTCACAGTTTTCAAATGCGCAAATGATTTTGGTCCACGTACATTTACCAACAGCAGTCGCAAATAAAAACATTCATCATTTCTAGGATGAATAGTATACATGCGACCTAGTGCATCAGTGGAAAACACCTGTGGCCAATCTGGAACTGGAGTTCCTTGTTTACGACGTTGGAATTTCTTTGTTGATTGATTCCAAGTGTAATACTTGGGCATTTCAACGTACATCAGCGTCGCTGCGAATGGATCTGCTTCACACATTGCAAAGAAGCTAGTCAATATTGTCGATGGTGGTCTCTCAGCTCGTTGTGCCGCATTAGCCTCAGTGAAGTAAACTCTTTGGCCATTTTCCAAATGCACTGCTAAATGTACAACTGTGGGATATCTTTCATGAATTTGAAATGACAATAATCGCCACAGTGCTTCATTAGTACTGACGTATCTGCCCATTTGGAAGTTGCTGTTTTCGTCATTCGCATTTTCCGATGCAATACCAAACACAGCCATGTCGCTGCCTTTTGTGACGTACTTGCACAAATATTTGATTGATTTGGCCGAATGACAACTCTCAACGTTTGCATGTGTTTCGAAAATTCGTGATAGCAGCGGGCAATATGGTACAATGAATTCATTTCCGATCTCAATCTCTTGATTTTGAACTTTAACTTTGATAGTTCGACCATTATCTTCTTTTGAACGCCGACGATAAACTGGATATCCATCGTTCCCTGTGACTGTTTCAGCAACTAACGGTCGCGGATATCGTTTTGTGCACTTTCCATCAGCCATGCAAGGCGATAATGGATTTAATGCACCGCACGGTCCATGCACCATCTGTGTCGTCACAATGTCGTGTAGATGGGGATCAGTGACTGGATCAGGAATTTCAGCTGATATGATGTCATCCACTTCATTTGAATATCATTTGTTCAGCAACCAAATTAGGATATGAGCATGAGGTAGTCCACGTTCTGCCATTCCACCGAGTACATATAACAACGTGTGTCACCAAAAACTCGATACTTAGTAAGCACATCCATCATAACCTTGAGTTTTTGCTGAAATACTCTGGCGATTATGTCATGGCGATCTTGCGGTTTTTGGCCCGGTTCCAACTCACGTTCAATTTCGGTCCACTTCGGATTGCATGTGAACGTAATAAATAAATCCGGAGTTCCATAATTTCGCACGTACGTCATAGCGTCTTGAGCGTATTCGTGCATGTGGCGTGGGCTTCCGATATAAGATGATGGGAGAATCGTCAGACGTCCAATATTCTGAACATCACCATCTGAATGAATAGCATCACGCAAGTGTATATAGTCCTCAGATCGTAGCTTTGCCTGATTGAATCGGATGAACGCTAAACGTTCGGTCTCGACTTTGACATACATGTCGACAGCGAATTGCTGGAATAGCCGACGGCACTTCAGAATGACATTCTCCTCATGTGTACGAATCATCATACGATACGCATAGTAATTCATTGCGCTTAGATTTTTGTTCTTGTTGTTGGAATTGTTAACGGAAACCAATAATAGCAATAATAGCAATAATTAGTGTGTGAATATTGTACCTGGAATTGGATCGACCATCTTCAACGTGATGTCGTATCCGTTTTGCCCTTGCCAATAAATGATTGGATATTGTAACGCATCGTACAAACGATGTGTCTCGTTGACACGATGCATGATATTGCTTCTTCGCTGAACGACAATGTCTCGCGATTTAGTTGTATCGCCAACAATAATTGCAGCAACATCATTAACGGTGGGTGCATTGAATCTTCGCACATGTTCACCTGTTGGGGTACAATCCGCTCTTATGACAAATTTGTGCGTATCCGATGGCATTCGTTCCAATGCTGTTTTGAACATATTAACCACAGCATTATTAGCGTGAAAAAATGCTTGCAACTGTTCAATAATTCGTCTCTTTAACTGTTGTGTTCCCTATATTGCACCGCACATTCAGCTGATCCACCATCGACGAAATGAAATATATTTGCAGAAATTAATGCGGTTCATCTGGTGTTGGCACCATTGAACCATGCAAGTGATATATTTTTCCTTGTATCTGTAGTTGCAAACAATCATTTGTTGAAGAATACGGTGTAACTTCTGATCGTGTGATGGTGTAGTGTGTGGTGTATATGTAGTTGTTATGTGTTGCAATTCATTGTGTTGGTGTGAGTGATTGGTTATGTGTGTTGTATCTTTTACCTTGCAAGTCGGCATGAAGCCGCCTTCTCGAATGATATTAGGATGTGTTGAAGAAAATGGCTGGAATCGGGATCACTTCCATCGAACAATGGTTTCAGTGGCTGTGTGGTGTAAGTAATGGATCCAGTTTGACTTTTCCACTTGCGCAGCACAATCCAGCCGTTTCTCTTTTGAACTTTAACGCATTGCAATATCGGCATATAGTCGTCATTGGTCCAATATCTAAATTTTCATCATCACTGTAGTTCGCAGTGGGATCATATTGGAATGCCAAGCGATTGTATGATACCAATGATCTTCGTGTGCTCACGCGTTGTCTCAATCGGGCATTTTCTCTTATTATATTTTGTCTTTCTTCGCTTATGTTCTGTGAATACACTTGTTGCTGGCTTGCATGTCTTGTGCGGCGGCCGATGTTCGCACGTCGTCCTCTAGGCATTTTGGACTATGGACAGAGTGGTGAATTTAACCTCAAATGCACGATCCACATAATTTACACAGTTCAACTTACCACCTTAAAGACAAATGCCTGCTGTTGAAATTGAATAAAAATGTTCACAATACACGTGATTGATTTGATGGTTTCCAATTGAAATGTTAGGAAACGAATAACTTATTTTTTTACTTTTTTTTCACAATTTCACAGTTAACACAATACCGGTTTGTCTCATGAAATTAACTGAGCAGAGAACAATGAGTAGCTGTCAAACAATGTATCACGCACCGGCGCCATCTACTTAAAATATTGGTTTGTAGTACATGCTATGTATCAGAGATGGCGCTGTATGTGAAAAAAGATTTTCAAATTTGCACCATACACGTGATTGATTTGATGGTTTCCAATTGAAATGTTAGGAAACGAATAACTTATTTTTTTAACTTTTTTTTCACAATTTCACAGTGAACACAATACCGGTTTGTCACATGAAATTAACTGAACAGAGAACAATGAGTAGCTGTCAAACAATGTATCCCGCACCGGCGCCATCTACTTAAAATATTGGTTTGTAGCGCTGTATGTGAAAAAAGATTGTCCCGCTTTTCTGATGAAATTTTTCCTGAATTTTCTTGGCTATAAACCACCCGGAGCCCGAGACCTTTCCAACGAATGCAAAACCGTGGAAATCGGTTAGTGCGTTCTGGAGTTATAGCGTCAGGAAGGAAAACCCGACTTATTTTTATATAGTAGATATAATATGTATTTTACGGAATTAAACTTATAATTAATTTTACTGACAGGCGTGCTTTAAATTGAACAATATTTTTTTGAACAACGTACTTATATCATTCTGAGTAAAATGAACTAATATTATACAAATAGACTTTTGGAGTGATTATAAAATAACGTATGTTAAGTTGCAGTTTCTGGAAATTACTGTAGCTACTGTCAGTATTTGCTGCATTCCTCGTATTTAAATAAACTCCAATCCAAACGTAGCTTCCAGTTCCTAATGATAAAAAATATTATTTAAAACTGGTCACCTGTTCATCAATTTCGCTATTTTAATATTGTATCAAAAGACTGTCGATCAGGGGCGTGCGCTCCTTGTAGGCAGAAATGCAGTGCTTTACTTGCTATTCACAGACATTTTAATAAAACGTTGGTACGTTTTAGATGACTTTAATTAATAGTAAATAAATGAAAAAACTAAATATAATAACTTAAAAACCTACTATTTAAAAATAGCACCACACAAACATTGTTTGCCAGGTGTTTACCGAAAAGCAAGCGCAACGCAAAGCAACTCATGCCGTCGCCTCGCGCAGGACATTTGTTCGCATGTGTGTAGTAATTTTGGTGTCCGTGCACAGTTCGCAAACGCACACACCCATTTATTTTATATCCCCGACAGGCCCCGACTACAGCCGCAGGATACTGCAGTTGGCCGTTCGGGTCCCGCGCTAATCGTGGTCGTGAATACTCGGAAGCGTTCGTTGCCTATAAATCCACCCAATTACAATAGTCAGAAATATAATAAATCATGTATGCGGATTATGAATTTTGAATATGGTAAGGTTTTATTTGTTTAATTAGCAGATATGTTTCTTGTTCGCGGGGGCCATTTTGATTTTTTCATGTGATAAGCATTGTTTACTATTTTCTTTCCGCCAGTATAATTATAGTTTTATTTGAAAGTGTGTACATTTAACAGTTTATTACTGAGTTCCGTTGATTTTTTTAAAATGTTATTTGATTGTGAGTTATGTGTGTATAATGTATATCAATTAAAAATTAAAAATAACAAGTTCTCACAATTGCCATTCAGTGAAAAGATTAAAATTGTGTCTAAAGGTAGGTGTGTACCCGAGTTACAAAAATTAAACCAGCAAAAAGTAAATGTAACTCGCAAGTTTCATGTTAAAAGTTATAAAACGTATAACTGGCTGTGTCGTTGTGTACACACGATTAAATTATATTGTTTTCCTTGCATATTGTTTAGTAATTCTAGTACAGTGTGGACTGATTCGGGATATTCAGATTAAAATAATTTCTATTCCGCAGCAAAGAAGCATGATGCATGGTGAGTAGTTATAATATTTTAGCTTATTATTTTACTTATTAGAATTTCTTCCGCCGCGATCTATCGCTGTTTTGTCTGCGTTCCCGTTGAAGATGTACATAAATAGTAGTACATCTAAGACTTGTGCTAAAAATCTATAAAAGAAAAAGTGACCGACTACTCCGCTGCATATCTAGTGTCATAATCCTGTGCACGCCACTGGTGAAGGGTATATATAGGTAGGCAGCCCCTGAGAACCCTGCCAGACTTTGGCCGCCATAGGCTACCACACGATTGGGTGCAGAGGAGCGCTCAGAGCTCACAGCCTCCTAAAGGATGTATGACCCCCTTTACACTATACTCCTGCTACGAGGGTGCGTTTTTAAGTTCGCGGAATGAGAGGGTATTCGTATCGTCAAGTATTCAGTGACTCATAATTAGTATAAATACCAGGTTTAATTGTTATTAGACAATTAGTCTTTGAGTTCTCGTCAACCAAGCAACATAATCGGGAGTGAAAAGTGAAACATGGAAAAAATCGAATATCGTGCCGTTATAAAGTTCCTTACCAAGCAAGGAAAATCAGTTGCGACCATAATGAATGAGATGTCATTGGTTTACGGCGACTCTTGTCCAGGAAAAACCATGGTATACAAATGGCACAGTTTATTTAAACAAGGAAGGGAATCCCTTGAAGACGACCCGAGGCCGGGCAGGAGCATCGAGGTGATCACGCCAGAACTTATCCAAAAAGTCGAAAAAATTGTACTCGACGATGCTCGACTAAAAAAGAAACAAGTCGCAGAAATGGTTGGAGTATCTGATACAACCATTTTTAGAATTCTGCACGATCATTTTGGCATGACAAAGGTCAATGCAACATGGGTGCCGAGAATGCTCACGCCGACGCAAAAACAACAGCGCGTAGAGTGTTCACGTGCATTTTTAGACCTTTGTACTGAAGACAAGAATGCTGTATTGAGTAGAATTATTACTGGAGACGAAACTTGGGTTCATCATTATGAACCTGAGTCGAAACAAGACTCCATGCAGTGGCATAAAAAGGGCACAGCACCTCCCAAGAAGTTCAAGGTGTCACAGTCAGCTGGGAAAATCATGGCAACGGTCTTTTGGGACTCAGAAAGAATATTATTGATCGATTATAAAGATAAAGGTGTTTCTATAACCGGAGAATACTAGGTTTCAATATTAGAGCGAGTCACAGAAGCCATTAAAGAGAAAAGACGGCGAAAATTGACAAAACAAAGAGACAAGAGACAAAAGACAAGAGCGTTGGCTGCCCTGCACAAGGTGGGCTTCGATATTTTGAATCACCCACCCTACAGCCCAGACCTGGCCCCCAGCGATTATTACCTGTTTCCAAAAATGAAAAAAGAGCTGCGGGGTAAAAAATTTACCAACGATGATGAAGTTAAGGAGGCAGTTTCGGCGTATTTTGAAGACAAAGAGAAAACATTTTTTTATGAGGGTATAAACAAATTAATTGAAAGATCTGAAAAATGTATCCGTCTTGCAGGTGAATATATTGGAAAGGAAAAATAATTTGGTTTTTTTTATTTCCACCCCTTTTTCCCTACACCCCATTCCGCGAACATAAAAACGCTCCCTCGTATCTTTTAAGTTTTGTCATCAGTCATTTAGTCGTCAAATACAGACGTTCGTATGGCAACCGGAACCGATGCTTAACATGCCCTCCGAGGTACGGGTCTGAATGTGTTAAAAATGGTCACGATTCCATAGACG